TCGGCTCGGCTCGGCTCGGCTCGGCTTGGCTTGGCTTGGCTGCTGTCAAACAACACCTCCTGCTCCGGCTTTCTCGGCCTGCTGAAGTGCAAACTGGGGCATGGTCGCTGCTGCCTCTCGAAGACTTCAAAAAACGAACGCGATCCCAGCAACATGCATGGCCCATAGCAAGTAAACAACTGGTCAAACCCTCTTTCCACACCTGTTTCTGCGCCTGCCAGCGTTTGGCTCCAGTCCTTGCTGCGGCTCAGCGCTCCTTCTTGTAACGGGCCTTGTACTGTACGATTTCCCGATGCCGTTTTCCGTACTTCTGAGCAGGACCTGCTTGGAAAGCATCCTCCGTTGCCTCACGCCGCCGTGCTGCGCATTTCTGAGCCTGCACCTTGTGTTAAGCTGTTCATGCCATCATCAATACTTCTGCGCGCAGGACCTGCGTGGACCGCATTCTTCAGTTCCTCACGGCTGAGGATGCCGCATCTCTGCTTTTCTCTGGGCATCGCGGTCGGGCGTGTTCCGAGCTTATGCACCCGCTGGCTTCCTTCACTGCATCTCGACGCCAAGCCCGAGCAGATGTCGATGTCTTGCTCTTTGCAGAGTTGCGTTGTCCTGGAATGCCGAGATGTGGTGTGCATGTCGGCCTCTTCTGGAATCCCACACACATGACGCTGCCAGACTTTGTGCAGGAGCGCTTTGCTGTCTGCACCGCTTTTCCTTTGGACCTTCGCACGCTGGCTGCGCGCATGGGTGTGGAACCGCCCAGCCTTTGGCGTTCAGTTAATGCGGCGTGCGGCAGTCCTGCTGTCCTCGAAGCACTCGCCAATCTGGAAGCGGCCTTCACCGACGCGGCCATGTTCCCCGACGCCCAACTGTTCCACTCTCCTCGCGCACAAAGGTTTCCTCTTGAACTCGTGGGACCTCTGGCTGGCAACCTACAGACCGTGGACGTCTATGCGAGCGCTTACCAGTACGGCCACGTACCCTTTCTCTTGATTGCCGTCCTCCCCGACGTCGATGCGGACCTGAGCTCTTCCGACACGTCTGCGGCAGGAGCCGTGTTTGTGGATCGTGCCGGCCTGCCGCCAACAGCGCCGGACGCCTGCTCCGTCTCGTCCTCTACGTCCCCGACATCCTTTCACCTGGCGGCCGGCGTGACTGGGCCTTTCTCAGTCAGTGACGAGGAGGCTTGAGCCGGCTTCGGCGCATTGCTGCATCGCTCCAGGCTGCAATTAGAATCTTCTGCA